TTTTCTCTGTTACAGCAGCATTTTTCCTTAATAGTTCCATCAGTAATAACAGTGCCTTTATATTTCACTATGTAAATATGTATTTGAAGACTTTAAAAGACAGTCTGAACTGGTAATGAAGAAGATGAAAATATATTCCTGTTAAATTTATAATTGGCACCTAACTTGAAAATCAATACCCCATATATTCTAACCAAAAAAAAGCAATCAAATTACATCTGTAATAAAAAGAGCAATTGAAGCACAATCTCTTATATTCACTGGCCAAATTTCTTTCTAAGTAAATCAGTCAGGCCAATTATATGGAGCTTGCTTTTTCATTATTCTATCATGCAAATTCATAGCCCAAGCATCAATTTGGGCTAAAAGGAATACAACTACACTTTACTTAGTAAAGACCTCAATATCTGTAAGGATTTATAGTAATAAAATAAACAGAGTGAACACATAACATATAAATGTATAATCTGGTAAATATTTTATTGGGGTTTGCCTCAAGAATATTTTTTTAATTAGGAAACCAAACTTCAATCAGAAAAAGTTACAGCTGTTTCTTGCTCATCTAACATTTCTATAACAGTGAAACATTCTAGAACACAAGATTTCTAGCATTTTCATCACTGTATGTACTGAAATATTGCTAATTTATTCAGATGCTTTCATGCATAATTACTAGAAACACAGATCTGTTTTTCTGCTAGTCTACCATCAGATAGGAAAAGCTATCTAGTGAATACTTCGAAAAATGTAAGTAATTGCAAATATTAAATTATTAACCATACCACAGATATGCTGTCTAAAGTACTGGTTTAATTTCCTTAATAATTTGCTTTTTCTATTTAGGCTAACATTGGGAATGCAAAGACTGATTTCAAGCTTTGCCTACGCAACAGATGACTTCTGGCATAGCAAGGTTTTCCAAGGATGTGACAACACATAAATTGTAACACAGTTGAGAAAGTGAAAGTCCTTTTTGAGGACATACTTATACTGCAAACCTGTATTCTTCCTTCTAAAGGCTTGGTAGTTTTTTTTTTTTCAATGTGGGAGAGAAGTGCTGTTAGGTTTATTGTGTTGGTATAAAGCATCGCTTTTCTGCTAGTGCTGTATTGACTTGGGAAGCTAACAGAGTACACTTCTCCATCACCAAAGGACCCTCAGCTCCCACGTGGTTTCTCTCTTTTCTGAGTGAAGTACCTGATAAATGCTGCACTCTCCAAATGTTCTGCTTTCTATCTCCCCTGTTTTTTTAATTGGGCTTTTATTGTTTGATTTTAAGTCAAGGTCTTTTCCCCTTGTAAGCAGCATATTTGGAAAAAAAAAAAAAAGGATTATTAAGTTATGAGCCCGATCTAGTCATTATTAAATCAGCAGGCACTGAACTAAATTCAATATTCTATTATATTCCACAAGAAACTCACAGTGGAAACACCTGCACTGCAAATATTGTAAGATGGGATGCCACATGTTAATAAATGTTTCTATTTATAGCAACAGGAGGAAATTTGAGCTGAACCTATAAAAATGACCAGAACATAATGGACAGATTCAATCAGGAACTGTTCCTATCCACAGCATTGTGACTTCCAGTGCTGACCCATTACGAAGAGATAGTTATTTCCTTTACATAGATAACTGTTTCCTTTACAAGCTTCTCCCTTCCACTTTCTCTCATAGAATATAAATGTCATTTGGAAGCTTGAAACCAAAACATTTTTCTTACCAAATGCTATTTTCCTTCATCATATGCTGAGAATGAATGGCTCTTCTTGAACATTCAGCTGCTAAAGAGAAAGAAAAAGTGCATATCAAATTTTCATTCTGTCCACTTTGACAAAGGCTCTTTTCCACATTAAGGCTTAAAGAAAAATAAAGATGCTAAACCTCAAAATATTGGTGCAGTCAGACTGATTTCTCTACCTGTGCAGATTCATGTTACTCTTTTTAATGGATTTCTTGAGAAAATGAGGCAAAAAAGAAATTATGCAGATGCAGAAAGACTGGAGTATACCACAGGGAAAATGTTAGAAGAATAATGAGAGTTGGGATCCTAGTTCAGTCATATTTTGAATAATTTTCCATGCCTGTTTTCAGTGACATCTCAGTCAACAACAGAATGTGGGTCTGAACAGACTGCTCTGCTTGCTGCCGTGTCACTGGGGACTGTCACCAGTGCTTAAAAAGTAAATTACCCTGAATGAAAAGATTTAAAGCAGTTGTTGCAAAACTTCAAACCACTTTCTGGATGTCAGAATTACTGGTAATATTGTGGCTTGGCAAAATAAAAAATTACCTAATAAAATAAAAATGATCTAATTTAAAGCTACCTTGGTTAAAGAAGGATTTTTTATCTGGCAACATCACTTATCCAAAGTGTTTTAATAAAATATATTGAACTATGTCAATTCCTTGTGCTATTTTTCTAAGAAAATTATAAGATTGTTACAACTAAAACTAGCTTTAACAAAGCAGCTAAACCTTGGAAAAACAATCCTTTCTGCTTGTTAGCTGTGCAGCCTTTCATGAAGATTTACCCCCTACTTTAGTCTGGACGTTTTTCAGCGGCAATTATGTCACACAGAACTTAGGGGATTTATGTATACAAAACACATTTTAGAGACATTCAGAACTACATGTGTCTTATTGAAGAATGAATGAATAAGCTGCTCTGGAAATAGTTAATTGGAAGTAGTTAACTGGAATCTCAGGTGTCAAAGCAGAGTAGGACTATAAAATGTGTTTCAGAAGAACGTTGAAACTAATTATTTTTTAAGTGTTTTGTTTTTAACCACATTCTGAAGTAGTGTGGGAGCTACTTTTATGTGTCTCCTGAGTACCACTGTTAATTTTTTTGTAAAAGAAAAGCAAAACAAATTTCAAGCACTGTTTATGGAAGGGAATTTAAGATCAAATAATGCATTGTACAAAACACCAAAGCATTCACTGTTTGTCAAACACTGTAGGGGAACATCACCCAACACAACACTGACACATGCTAAATGTTACATTCTAATAAATATACATGTAAGCAAATTACAAAAATGATTTTAAAGTAGCCATCACCAGATCTCTAATAAATTTCTATTACATTGACTAAGATACAAAAATAATAGTAATAATATTCTTTAGAATAATATGTGTAGTAACAGTAACAACAGTTACACTTGCCCACTATACAAACACTCGCTCCATTGGTGAGAGACTGCAATTAAAGTCATTGCCTGTCCTTACACAGCCCTACAAATGCACGGCCATTACATTAACACATCACGGATAATTGCTTTTACTGTAGTTACTTTAAAGTATCTGTTAACAAAACTCATGAAATTGCCCAAGAAATGATTTGGTTTGCACATATTTTATCTATTATATTACAGGAGCATCTTAAGCAAGGATGATGCTCTACTCCTCTTGGCACTGTACAGGTTGATAATCTCCAGAATAACTGATATAACAAAGCACACTGCATAGCTACCGTAAATTCTAGCTTCTTACATAAACTATCTGATGTATACCAAGTATGAAGGGTTTGCATAGTGGCAACAGTAACAGTTCTTCACACGGGGGGGTTTTCACACTATCCTTAAAATATGGGCAGCTAATATTCAGATGGGCAGCCTGCTTTGTAAGGATTGACAAATTAATATGCCGTTAACCAGATATTGCTCATACATTTAAATTACAGTAGGAAAATATGCTATCACTTATTTCACATTAATTGCAAAATATACTGATTTACAAAACAATAGTTGTACTTAATATCCATTCTTTTTTTATTGTTAAGGGTAAATGCACATAAGTACATAAAAAAAAAATCACTGCTGTTAAATCCAATTTAAAGCAGTAGAAAATTAATGAAAAGCAAGGTGTGCTACTTGCTTTATCCGAAGTCGCAAGATGAAAGACACTTTTGAATAATACTGATGCCCAAAATAGATTATATTTCTTCTGGTACTTTAAGGACTATTTTATATTTGAGCTCTTACCAAAAGTATACATCTACGAGAAAACTGTCACTTTTGAAAGCAAAAGGAATTAGCCAGCAATTCGTAAAATTTGAGAGATGCTCAAGAGCTTCAAGTAACAGTGACCATGGAAAAAGCTCCACAGATAAACTGATATATATCAAGTCACATCACACTTTTACAGCTGGTGTATTTTTTTTTTCATTAAGAAACCATAAATATATTAGAAAAAGTGCACTAATTATTGGCAGCCTCTGCAAGGTTCTTGCTAACCTTTCTATATGTGGTCAGAGTTGCATCTTAAATTAGGCATTCTGAAGGGTTCTTTTGCATGCTTTACCTATTTACAAGAAAATGCATTCCCAAGCAAGTAGCAAGCAACATACCATACTGAAGTGCACCTGTTAAATGCATTAAGATAAATGTAAAGTTCCATCAAGTTATTGGATGTAGATTGCTACAGAACTTCACAAGTACCAAGACCTTAAAAAGGAAGCAGCAATCTAATAAATGCTGTAGTGATGCACAAGCCTAGAGCTTCCTGACCGCACGATTGAGCTGCATTTAATTTAGTTCAGGACACACAAGTATGGTTTTTTATAATAAGCCATCCCGTTCAGGTAAATATTTCTTTAGCTTACGAACTCCATGATTTAATTTGGTTGTTTTTTGTTTGGTTTTTTATTCTTTTTTTTTTTTGGTAGAGAAGACATTATGAAAATTCTATTTGCTTGTACCTTCCCAGGAAAGTGGACCCTAGCATCTGTCTTGACATTATGCAGGTGCTTTCAGAGAGCAGTCTGAGGGGTTTGTGCCAAGTGAAACTGCTCCTGTCATTTAATTCTCAGTGTAATTAAGCTCAGCGTAATTCTCCTAGCGTATATCACAAAATTGTCAAACATTTATGGTTCTAAGCTACACATTTGTAAAAACTTGTATTCATATTACTACTGCAGGGCAATTACTTCAGAGACTACAGCGCTATTCACATTCTTAGATGTCCATACTTTTCTCATTGAACAGCAAACACGACAGTTCTTGTAAGACTGTTTATTGAATTTAACAGTTCAGACTGAGTTTAGATGGAGTTTAGATGCAGTTTGTATAAAAAATTCTGCCAAGTCACGTAAACTGCAATCAAAAATAACTACAAAATAGTAAGAGACTTACTGAGATCATAAATTTCCTAACATGTAAAACTATACAGTATTTGTGCATGCTCGCTATTTGATTTCCTTCTGAAGAGCTGTTAAAAGGAGTTCGTTTGGTTTTTAAAATCTCAAGGTAGTCTATGAAATGTAATCATCGCATCTCAATTCAGATATACAAGATCAAAACTGGCACAGAGGAACATAACACTTTTTTTTTTCCCAAAAAGTTGAGGCAGCTTTTGTTGAATGGCGTCTGCATCAGTAAACGTTTTATAAACTCTGGTGGCTTTGGATCATCAGAGAGAATCCTTTTTTTCTTTTGACATCCTGAAAAAAAATTTCCCACAAGTGCAGACAGGTAAAGAGAGGAGGAAAATAAGTAGCAGCTTGTTTCCTACACACAGCTGAACGCCATGCTCAGCAGTCCAGTGTCTCAAAACAAAAAATTAACTTGACATAACAGGGAGGCATATCCCCCTCAAGTTACAAGCATGTCTGAGACTTTTCAGGGGAGATGGAAGCAAGCATGAGGGTAAAGCGTAAGTCTACTTTTCATGCATAGGTGCTTTGCACTGCCCTGCATCCAGGGCATTTTGTCAGACATCCGAGTTGGAGCTGAGGTTTGTTAACCTGGGGTCTGCATTGATCTCGTATCTGTAGTGGTAGCCCTCCATGTGATCCCTACAGGCATCTCTGATGTTGTGCATCCACTTTTTGATTCCTTTTCGGTTCAAGTACAAAACCAGGAGGAATATGGCCCCAATGAGAGCCAAGACTATCCCCAGGAAGACGTATGAAGTCTGTAGCTGGGAAGGCAGGTCTATGGGCACGGAGCAGTTCATGTCCGAGCCATTGATCTTCAGCAGGGCTTTGCCCAACATCTTGTCAGGGGAGGCACAGGTCAGGGCTTCTTTGCCCTCCACCTGGTCGCTCTCTTTAAGCCAGGCCACCAGGTCCTCGATGGCACAGTCACAGACCCAGGTGTTGTGGCGCAGGACGATGTGCCGGAGCGCGGGCAGGCTGCGGAACTGGGCCAGGGTGCTGTTCCACAGCACACCCAGGGAGTTGTCGCTGAGGTTGAGGCTCTGCAGCTGGCCCAGTCCCTGGAAAGAGACGTTTCGCAGGCCCACCAGGGAGTTGTTGCTGAGGTCCAGCTGCCGCAGGGCCGGCAGGGCAGTGAACATGCCGGCGGGCAGCAGCAGCAGCCCGTTGTCGGCCAGCTCCAGGCGGCTGAGGTTGCGCAGGGCCCCGGACTGCAGCAGGGCGGCCAGGCTGAGCAGGACGCCGTGGTCGCGCAGGGTCCCGCGGAGGGCCAGCTCCTCCAGCGGGCTGCCGCCCTCCCCGAAGGCCTGCGGGCTGAAGGAGACCAGCGCGTTGCCGCTGAGGTCCAGCTGCCGCAGGGCGGGCAGGGCGAGGGAGCCGGCCTCCACGGTCCGCAGGTGGTTGCCACTGAGGTTGAGGGAAGCGAGGTCGGGCAGGCGCTGGGCGGGGAAGGCGCCGGCCGGCAGGTCGGTCAGGGGGTTGCCGGTGATGAAGAGGCTGCGCACGTAGGGCGGCAGGTCGGGGGGCACCGCCGTCAGGTTCCTGTTCACGCACTTCACCGTCCTGGCCGGCTCCGAGCACTCGCAGAGGGCCGGGCAGCCGCCGGGCTGCGCCGAGCCGCAGCCCAGCAGGACGGGCAGCAGTAGCCCCAGGCAGAGCGCGCCGCGCCCCGGCATCGCGCCCGGCCCGGCCCCGCACGCAACTTTTCCCTCCGGGCGCCTCCGGCTCCGGGCGGCGCGGCGCGGCGGGGGCCGGCTCCGGGCAGCCCTTTCTTCGGGGGCAGGCGTTTCCCCTCGGGGGCTGGCTCCGCTCCGCTTCCCGCAGCGAGACCTGCGGCAGGGGAGGAAAGGGACACGGCAGCGGCGGGGCGGCGCGGCTCCTCTTGCCCGCGCCCACCCCCCTCCCTCGGCCCGCGTCTCGTCTCCCGCCCCCGATACGCGGTTCTCCCGGGCGGCCACGGCCCCGCGGCAGAACACGCGGAGGAACAAGTTTTCCCTCACTTCCAGCTCACGCCGCCACCTTCCACCCGGCCGTCGACTCCACCGGCGTAGCACGGAGGGGAAGAGGAGGGTCTGACCCGCCACCGCCCACCGTGTCCCGTGGCTCCCCACCTGCCGTCCCTGCCCCGGGGCTCTTCCCCTCCGCTCCGCGGCCGCTACAAACTCCCGCCCCCAAAACCCACCGCGGAGCCGAGCCCGATGCCGGACCCCGTCCCTCACCTCCCGCCCCGCGTACAGAACAAACTCCGCCGCAGCTCGCCGCCGACTGCCCCCAGCCCTGCCGCCAACTCCGCGCCCACCCTCGCGGCGCCTGGCCCTGCCTCCGCTGGCAGGAGAAACCAAGCGCCGCCCGGCCAGGGGGAGCCGCCGCCCGCGCCCCGCCCGCCGCCCCCGCGCTCCGGCTCGGCCGCCGCTGTCGGGCTGCCTCGCCCGGGAGCCCGCAGGACGGTCCCCTCGGCGTCCCGTCCCCCGCGTCCCCCGGCCCAGGTGGTGCTGCCGGAGACTCACCTTGCCGCCGAGCGGGGCCGCGCCATGTGGAGCCGCGCCGTGCGGGGCTCCAGCTCGGCTCGCCGGGCGCGGAGCGGGTCCCGCCCGCCGCTGGGAGGGAGAGCCCCGCGCTCCGCTCCCGCCTCGCAGCGCAGTACTTGTGCCTGCCCCGCCGCGGCTCCTGGGCGCCGTTCCCCGCGGTTTCCACGATGGGCGCGCTCAGGCCGGCGGCAGGATGGGGAATCCCGGCGGGTTTCGAGCGTCGGGGTGCCGAGCCGACTGCTGGCGGCCACTGCCCCCGCCCGCCTACCCAGGGATCGTGTTTCGGGAGAGGAGGGAACAACAGCAGCCACAAAATACACCGAGTGCAAAAAAAAAAAAAAAAAAGAAAAAAAAAAAAAAAAAAAAAATCCCCAACCAAAATAACATCAAAACTACACTTAAACCCACCGGGAACTTTAGAGGTCCTAAAATATATAATAATAGTGATTTTTAAGAAAAGAAATGAACTTGCAAATCGACAGTTCAAGATTGATATTTAAACTTTATTACGGTGAGGAAAAGCCTATAAGTACCTGTCTGCGTGTCAAATGTTTACCAGCTTCAGTCGCTGTGGCTGAACCGTCCTGGCAGGGCTGAGCAAGCCGGGTATAACAAAGTCTGGTTTGCAACTGAGTAACTCCCTTTCCTTACCCTACAGAGGGGGTATTTGAGGAAGTCGTGCATGGTGTGAGCTGCCATGTGGGCTGTTTTTGGCCACTGGTCCCTAGAAAGTGCTTCAGACCATTAAATAACACCTAATTAACACAAAAGATCCGCCAGTGTATACAAATAACCAGTTTCAGCAATGTGAAACAGAAAGTTTTGAGGCGATGAGTCCTTTGGGCTTTCCTTATCCTTCTGTTGACTGCCTACACAAAATTTCCTTCTCCCGTATGTCAGGCTTACACTCCTTCTGCCTTCCTGATAAACTATGTTCCTTTTTTTGGTAGAGTCAGCAGGAATCTCAGAGCTGCCAAAAGCCGTAGGGGAAATGGAGAGATGAATCCAGTATGAAGTCTTGATAAAATCAGCCCCAGAATCTGGAGAGTAATGAATTAAAGCACCAGTTTCTGTAGGATTGTTCTCCTCTCTCTAGCCTGACAGTGGTGTTACAGTGCAGCAAACTCTGGGGCTGGGGTGACAGGCAAGGACTGTCCAGCTGATAGAGCAGCATGCTCTTGACATGAAGATTATGGAGAAAAGAAAATATGCAGTGGCTGAAGTAATAGTGATACAAATGAGATCTTGGACTCACAAGCAGTTCCAGAACTTTGGGAAGTTATTGCTTTGATGATGAGTTAGAAAAGCAGTGGCACTACACTGCAGGAGATTTTAGTTGCTTGAGAGGTTGTTTGTTGACATGCCTCTTAGTATAGTGCTCAGAAAAATAGATAGATAAAGATATCCTGCATTCTGTAAGAGAAAGACTTGTTCTCCTAATCTATGAAAATTATTTGAAAAAGTCAAAGAAACAGCCCTGTCTCCAAATTGTCCAACTGGACAACAGTAAAATTCATCAACCAAGAAATAGTTTCCAAAAGGAGATGGCCTTTAAAAATAGGTAGCTGAATATATTATCAAAAATAAATCATACAAAAGCCACTAAATTATAACCATAACCACCTTTTATAAAATGTTTAGATACAATGTCATTTTGAATTAAATAATACAATTAAGAGCAATTACACTGATCTGCTCATTGTCCTGACCATAGTTTTCCTAGCAGTTTGGGCTCTTCATGACTGTCTAGATGGGACTGTGCCTCTTGTCCTTCACAGCAGGTTAGCTCTTTGGGCAGGAGACATGGTTTCTTTCCATCTCTGTGAAGTGCTCGCTGACAGGTGCTTGAATGTGCTTCAGTAATGCAAATAATAGATAACAAGTATTTTCCTATTCTTTCCTATTATTCCAGTAGTAAATTGTACCTGCTAAACCTGCTTAAGCTTGCAAGAAGAAGAAAAACACTTGTAATCTGATTTCTTTTCTTCTTGTTTAAATAAAACATCTTTTCTTAGAGGCATACTCTGAAAAAAAAACCATGGTACTTTCTGGTGAATTAATCTATACTAAGTGGATTTCCTGGATGTAATGTAGGAAAATGAAAAAACCCCAGCCTTGATGTGTTTTCAGGTCAGTTTTGGCTATTATGATTGATTCATTTGTGAATTTGCATTGCACAGCCCATGGGATCCTATATTTTTTTTCATAAAGGTTATGCAAAACTTCTGCCTGAGTTAAAGTATAGGATTAAAAAATAGATTGTCTTGGCTAAAGGGAGCAATCTGGAAGTTAATTTACCATTAGGAAACTGTTCCTGTGGCTGATATTTCCAGAGGTTGACTGAGAAGCTCATGTTAAACAGTGTGGGGGTTGAGACAATGCTTCAATTTGCTGCTCCAGGCTGAGGTTGGATGATGTGCTTCATCTGCAATAATGAAGGAAACCTCTGACCATCCTTCTCCAGAAGATTAAACCTTGCTTCACGTGACAGTGATGAGATCTGTTTGCTTCTGAAAATCCGTACTCCAGTAATTCACCTTCCACAAAGTGAAAACCCATATAAGGGGCTGCAGTGAGTCCTGGGGACAACCTCTGATTACTGCATTACTTGACCATTTTGGCATTGCTGTTCCCCTTTTAAGGCTCTCAGCTTAGAAAGGAATAAAGTATCATTTGTACATGCTTATGTCACTCCACTGTCCTTAGGAAAATCTGAAAGATTATTTTAGATACTGAAATTTAAGGCTGTTAATTAAGTTCATTGAGATGGATCCCATCCTAAATGATCTCAATGCCCCCTTGGACAGATATTAAACAATGCTGGATACCCTTTTGAGTGGTCTGACTGCAACTGATGTCCAAGGAATTGGAATAACTTGGGGTAGGACTCAATGCAATAGTGGTCTTTTTTTTTTTTTTTTAAATTCTATTTATCAACAGGGAGATTTTTGTTTCATCTGTGAAATATTTCTACTTTGCCTCAACATTGCATGAAGATACTCAGCACTTCATAGGAAGTGACCTTGAAAGGGTGTTTTTATAATGTGCTAAAGATAATAAACCAAGTGAGCAATTGTACAGAGACCAGAATTCTTTTCTTCTACCAAAATATCTTCCTACAAATGTGGAAGAACAAGCTGCAAGTTCTGTCTGCTTCCTCACATAGAGAGATCCAGCAGGTCCTCCAAGGGACCCCTGTTGCCCTTGAGGCTTGGCTTCCTTTGAACAAACACCATCAGATTCCTTAAGATTGTGTCACAAAACTACTTAGGCAACCAAATTCTTGTTTGAATTTTATTTAGCATTCACATGTTCACAACCATAAACGTTCAGGCTTCAGTTTTCTTTTTAGGTGCACTTAAGTTCATGTGATAGCTTTTGATTGAAGCTGTACAGAAGACAATCTTCAAGGAATCCATATTTGCATTTTCTTGTATGCTTTCCATTTTTTTATATTGAAAAAATGAAAGTTAATTTAATACAGAGAATGTTGATTTTTAATACTATGAATACAGTGAACATAAAGCTTGCCAGAACTAACAGAAAAAATATTTTAGCTGAAAGTAACCTTTTTTGGGGGTCTTTAAATATGTTAATTGGATGTCAGGGCACTCTTTTAATTTCTGGAGACTCCTGCATGCTCAGCTGGGAATAGAAGGGACCATAGGAGACCAAGTAGCCCCATCTGAATGCAAGCAATGTTGAAAACTGCTGAAACTGAAGATGGACTCTTTAACTGGTCCCCAGGTTCCCAGCAGTGCTTTATTGTTAAAACCTTTTACTCAAATGAGAAAGAAGCAATGGTGACTTCCTCCAGCAAAACCAGCTACCAGACCTGGAGTCAGGAATGTACTAGGAAAAAAGCCTGGGGAAGAGGACTTGCTGTATTCCAGATGCTGTATTCCAGAAAAGCACTGTGTGCTTATCCCTCTGCCTGTACTCCAGCTCAGCATGTTCTGACATGTAGAGTATCTACAACATGATCCAAGCTGAATAACTGCTTACAAGTTCATCACAATATAACTGAGAATTTAGCATGCTTAAACAGGTCAGGCTAAATTTTCAATCATACTTTTATTCTCTCTTTGCTCAGGAACAATGCATGTCTTACTTTTAATCTATCTTTGATGGACTCCTATATGTATTTT